GTGTGCATGGAGGAACACTGTGTAAGGTGTGCATTTGGAAAAACTGTAAGGTGTGCATGAGGGGAACACTGTGTAAGGTGTGCATGGGGGGAACACTGTGTAAGGTGTGCATGAGGGGAACACTGTGTAAGGTGTGCATAGAGGAACACTGTGTAATGTGTGCATGGAGGAACACTGTGTAAGTTGTGCATTTGGGAACACAGTAAGGTGTGCATGAGGGGAACACTGTGTAAGGTGTGCATGGGGGAACACTGTGTTAGGGGTGCATGGGGGAACACTGTGTAAGGTGTGCATGGGGGAACACTGTGTAAGGTGTGCATGGGGGAACACTGTGTAAGGTGAGCATGGGAGGAACACTTTGTAAGTTGAGCATGGGGGGAACACTGTGTAAGGTGAGCATGGGAGGAACACTGTGTAAGTTGAACATGGGGGTACACTGTTTATGGTTAACATGGGGGGAACACTGTGTAAAGTGAGCATGGGTGGGAACACTGTGTAAGGTGAGCATGGGGGGAACCCTGTGAAAGGTGTGCGTTGGGGGAACACTGTATAAAGTGAGCATGGGGGGGGAACACTGTGTAAGGTGAGCATGGGGGGAACACTGTGTAAGGTGTGCATGGGGGGAACACTGCGTAAGGAGAGCATGGGGGGGACACTGTGATAGGTAAGGATGGGGGGGAGGAAACACTGTGTAATGAGGGCATGGGGGAACACTGTGTAAGTTGTGCATGGGGGGAACACTGTGTAAGGTGGGTATGGGGGAACACTGTGTAAGGTGAGCATAGGGGAACAATTTAAGGTGTGCACGGGGGGAACATTGTGTAAGGTTTGCATGGGGGGAACACTGTGTAAGATGTGCATGGGGGAACGCTGTAAGGGTGCATGGGGGAAAACTGTAAGGTGTGCATGGGGGATCACTGTAAGGTGTGTATGCGGGGAACACTGTGTAAGGTGTGCATGAGAGAACACTGTGTAAGGTGTGCATGTGGTAATACTGTGAAAGGTGTGTATTTGAGAACACTGGAAGGTGTGCATGGGGGGAACACTGTAAGGTGTGCATGGGGGAACACTGTGTAAGGTTTGCATGGGGGGAACTCTGTGTAAGGAGAGCATGGGGGAACACTGTGTAAGGTGAGCATGGGGAGAACACTGTGTAAGGTGTGTAAGGAGAATTTGGGGGAACACTGTGTATGGTGAGCATGGGGGAACACTGTGTAAGGTAGGTATGGGGGTACACTGTGTAAGGTGAGCATGTGGGGGAACACTGTGTAAGTTGAGCATGGGGGAACACTGTAAGGTGTGCATGCGGGGAACACTTTGTAAGGTGTTCATGGGGGGAACACTGTGTAAGGTGTGCATGGGGGAACACTGTAAGGTGTACATGGGGGAACACTGTGCATGCAGTTGGTGTGGAGCTCCACGTGGCAGAGATAAGGGGAGGGGTACACCATGAGTCATATGAGTATTGATGATACTGTCTGTGTAGTGGGTGTTGGGGACGATGTTTGTACAGTGGTTACTGAGGACCTCAGGTGCCAGATAGGTGCTGGTGACCTCGTGTATTAAGTGAATGTTCAGGAGCCCGTGTAAATTTTTCACGGTGGAGTTGAGGACCATCGTGTTAATCTTTGCTTATCGCCTCGTGTGTCACGCGACTACTGTGGGTTTTGTGTGATGAATCGGAGTATAGGCAACCAATGTGTTAAGTGGGTGTTGCTGATACCCTATGTTTAGTGTGTATTGGAGAACCCGTATGTTAAGGTGGTGTTGGGGACCACAAATGTTAAGTAGTTCTTGGAGATCCTGTGTCTCAAGTGGGTGTCGGGAACCTTGTGTGTTAATTGGGCGTTTGGAACCCTATGTTTCAAGCGAGTGTTGGGGGACCACGAGTGTCAAGTTGGTGTTGGGTAACCCAAGAGGGGTTAATGTGGTGTTGGGGACTGCTGTGTGTTAAGTGGTGTTTGGAAGACCCACTGTAGTAAGTGGGAGTTGGGGACTGGGTGTATGAGAGTTGGGGGTGTGTCATCTTATTGTTTGGGAATCCTGTGAGTAAAGTGGGTGTTAGGGATTATGTGTGTCAAGTAGGTGTTGGTGACCCCGTGTATGAAGTTGGTGTTTGGGACCCGGAGTGTTTAATGAATGTTCGGGGCTCCAAACAATCACTTAACCCTCAGAAATAAAAATTGCAAAAAGTTTTGAAAATTTTCATTCAGAAAAGTTTGTTCCAAAATGTTTTGAAAGATTGACACTGAAAAGTTTTCTACATAAAAAAAATACAAAATGTTTTGACAATTTTCTTAAAGAAAATTTTGTTACAAAGAGTTCTAAAATACATAGCAGGAAAAGCTTTGAAAAAGAAATATGATTAATGTGCAAAATTTCATAAAAGTTTCCTGCAGAAGAGTTTCTTACAAAAAGCTTTGCAAAGTTTGTTATAGATAAAATTTTTGAAAGTTTTTACAGAAAAAGTTTTACAAGTTTTTATAGAAAGGTTTAGTATAATTTAGATTTTAAAGTTTGACAAAAATGTTTCATAAAGAAATTTGTTACGACTTCATGAAAGTCATATAGAAAAGTTGCCTTATTATAGTTTGTTATTAGATAAAGTTTAAATTTTTTGGTGTAGATGCTTAAATAATAGTAATGTTGTTGTTACAGAACAATACTAATACCCTGGATCATGCATAAAACACCAATAATAGTTACTAAACATTGCACAAAGAATGTCTTCGTATGTTTTGTCTTAATAAATGCTGACTTGTTTTGATTATCGAAAGTTGTTACAAACCAGTTATGTTTCGAGAAGACATTCTATAAACACGATATGTCAAAAAAATATTATGCTGATTTCTTTACCACATTAAATATTAATGATACTTAAGTTATGATACAGATAGATTGATTTACAAAGTTTGACTTTACATAATGTTTGAGATGTCTTAATGAATTTGTCAATTGATTTGATTTGATCAAGATTTATAAAAGCAAGCAGATTATACACTGCAAAGCTAAGTCGTTAGTTCAAGTTTAGGTTAGGTTGTATACATTTAGTGACATCTGGTGGGTGTAATTTGAACTAGGCAGTGGCACCCTAGCTGGTAGAGGAAAATTAAACAACCACAATAACTGATGGAACGAAGTCTGACAGACTGGGGTAGGTCCGGGAAGCTCATTTTACTCCTCTACACCCTAACACGGAAGAAACATCCAACAATGATTGAGTAAACAGAGATGTGTGAGTATGACAAAGGTTAGAATGGTCTTGATTCTTCTATAGAAAACTCATGTATCCTCACCCCACCCTCATACACTCTCATCCACTCTCGTATGTACTCACTCTCTCGCTCTCTCTTACATACTCTGAAAAGAGTTGGAAAATATTTTGGAATATCTATACAAACGCAAATCGGAGAGTATACATACGACATGGATGATGGACTCTAATATGAATAGCCGGGTGCACATAGTCGAGAACACATAATATTGAAAGCTAGTCTCTATGTGTATTAGCATGAATTGCAAATTGTGAATAGACTAGTACACAATCTGCAACAAATGAAATACCGGAAGAAGTACAAGAAATGGGCTGGAATGATTGGAACTCAAGAGTTAAATCACACATTCACGAGTGTATCAAGGCCTGACCCACTTTAATGGATTTTTTCCTGAAACTGACATTCCACCATTAATCCCCATAAATCCCATGGCATAAGGGAAGTGTGAGTAGGTGGGTACACAATGGTATTGAACGTTGAAGATAAGCATGGAAGATGGTATGGAACTGAGAGGTTAAATTAAGAATGAATAGTTATGTATGATAAGGTAAGTCCAGATAGGTGAATAAATACATACGACAATAACATGCAATTTTTAAGCAATCAACGTTTTGATTGGGAACCAAGAATCTTGTATTGACCAGAAGCCTTAGGAAGGAGGGGAGGATGGCGTCCTGGAGACTGAGGCAAACACAGGTGTTTGGACTATGAACATCTATTTTTTGTGCACTTGTTTATTGATAATTTTTAGGACTTTAATATTAATATTTTTTGAACCTGTGTAAATATATATTTTTATTTTATACAAAAAGAATTTAAATGTGTAAGAGTCTTTCGACTTGTGAATAAAAATTTCGGACTGGTGTTCATCGCCAATGACTTAGAATATAATAATATCCCGATTCATTCGATTCATCTACAGTCTTGAGATTTCCACTGGAACCAAGTCAAGGTTTCCCTCATTCCCCACATACCCTCTTGCTGTGGTACATGAGGACATACACTCTGGCTGTGGTATAGGAGGAGTTCTACCACCAACACTTCTCTTCAAATGCACTTCTTTGTGCATTTGAAGAGAAGCGTTGGAGGCAGCCACACCCGAATTGGCAACCACACCCAAAGTGCATGTGGACAATGCCAGGAAACCTGACATATATATCCCTATTGTTGTCACTAGATGCTCTGAATATACCTATGTGTTGCACTAAGTATAGTTTGATGATATAATTTTAAGAAGCATATGGTACAATTTCAATAGGTTCATGGTGCACTAGATGTAGGCAGATGGTACTTTAAGTATAGGTAGAGGGAGCCTTTGTAACAGATAGGGAAATGAGTTTTAATGATGCATAAAGAATTGATAGCCTGTAAATTGGGTATATACAAATGGTGCAAATGACTCAGGTAGATGATACAATGGATATAGTTAGATGGTACATTGGGAATAAGTAGATGAAACATTAAGTAAAGACAAATTTTTCATGAAATAAAGATAGATGGTTCATTAAGTGTTGGCAGATGGTACATTGTGTACATATATAAATAGAACATTTGGTATATGCAAATACTACTTTAGCGGCATTGATAGATGCAACATTGGGTATATATAAATGGCTTAGTGAGTATAGATAGATAACACATTCGTAGGTCTGAACACAGACAGATGAGTGATGCTACACGTTAGTCTAACCTGTGTGTGTCTGGCCACTACAGCAAGATTCTTACTTTCGCTCCATGATGGAGATGTCCGAGCAGAGTGTGGTCCGCTGGTTGGAGCAGGAGGATCCGGCCTCGTCGACACCGTCCTCGGGAGAGCACTGCTCCGACACCACTGTCCACTGTGTATCGCGGCAGCAGTAGCAGCAACACGGCGTTTACCAGAGACGATGGATTAGTTACAGTCAAGTATATGTTATAAAGTGGAAGGTGTGTAAGTAACGGAGTTCAAAAGATATCTGCCTTGGGTGAAAAATTATCGCCATAGAAGAAACGGCTTTTTACGTGAGGTGAGGTATGTGGGGAAATATTTATTAACATAACTCTGGTAATAAGATATTTAAATAAATCTTTATGAGGATCACACTGTATAAGTTTAATTAACAAACTAATGCGTTCTACAGAAGTGCATAGTATAGTAACGCCATTCCATGGGCCTGCCCAACGGCTCCTGACTCTGACACTCACACTATCTTAAACAATTACGAAACTAAAGTTATTTCCTTTCACGTCTAATAAATTTTATAAATATACAAAATTAACTAATACCTAAAAGAAATATTTAATTAACATTGTTAATTCGAAGACTTAAGATAGAGACTTAATTCGAACTCTTAAAGATAGATACTTAAACTCTCAATGATTAAATCATCTTGGAGAGTTCTCTCTCTGACTCGGAAGTTGGTGTCAGGAGGGAGGGTCTGACGCCATTATTTGCTCGTCCACCAACATGACTGGTCAACAGCGTGGCGACCGACCTTATTAAGCAGCCTAGGGTTACTGTTCTCCTGCTGTTCTAATCCCACGACCACAAGATCTGGTTGTGTCCGAATTACACTTAAGCGACAGCTAAGTGTCTCCCGTTCCGCACTTAGTGCTCTGTGTTGTGGCCGTAGCATGTGAGCACAGGGGAACACGGGGATGGCAGAGAGCGGTTATAACGACAACACCAGCATCTCACGAAAGGGCAATAATCATTAATTCTCTATTAATATAAATGAGATAATTTGGTGAGATATAACATAAATCTATTTTTAATCTAACAGTGATTTTGGCGGCAGGAAATGTGGAGGATCCAGCCAGTCCTCCTTCCAATTGGACGCTGAGCAGCTGTATTTTTACCCACGTGTTCAGGTCTACCCACACTCCTAGCCAGCTAATTCTGGAATTATTAATTACAACCTGAAATTTAGATAGCCTAGAGATTATTCACAAAGTAAACAATTTACCTAGAAATATAATATCTAGATAAACAGAACCTCTTTTCAATAATACACTGGATGATATAAATTGAATTAATAATAAAATTTAACTGTCCTTTGGGGCTGTGTGAGAACTACTTACAACTATTGATACAGTCCAATCTCTAATATTTAAAGGACAAAAATAATTTCCCAGCGAAAGCCAACAAGGTATATCATCCTCAAATTTTACTGAAGAGCATAAAGCACCGAGTTTACTGCTCAAACGCTCGATTTTTTTTTTTGAGCAATATATTTACTGAAGGAAGCTTATGATGTTTGTGGCGGATTTCTCCTATAAAATTGGCATATTCTTTTATTATTTTACTTATTTTCTTAACTGCTAATTGTTAATATTATAAACAATCTCTCTCGAAGTAAAGATCTGTGCCTTACTGGGATGATAAAATGGACCGAATGTTGACCTGGGTAGTTGGTGTCTTAATATAATTATATTGTTAATGTTGATTATTGCCCCCTAATATTAACAGAAGCCATAAAGATAACATACATGTTAGTTATTGTATGTGATTCTTGGCAAAATATCTAAACTCATTTCATTGCATAACTGGTTTAAAAAAAAATGGGCCTTAACACACGTGAGATCAAATCTCACATTAGTGTGACTCTGGATGTGTTAAGACTTTTCTGATCCTTTAAGGTAAAAGTTAGTATGAACATTAGGTTATTCCTTATGTTCCTCGGAACTTTGAAGAGCAGACCAAAATATGCCAGAATTGTAATAATTTGCATACGTTATTACGAATAAAGTTCTTAATATAATGTAATCTGTTAAATAATGATCTTCAGTGTCATATGACTTGTGAATTCTTTCTTAATGATTGTAGCTTTGTTTTCTACAAGCCTATTGGGTAAAGCACTATTTTGATGAAATATAAATTGGGAAAGGCATTGCATGAGCGAGACCATAGAATTATCTTTCCTATAATCATGTACCCACCTTATCTTTTCTCTTTACAGGTAACAGAGTACTCTAAATTCCATATGCATCCTGTCCACAGTCTTGAGATTAAGTGATGATTTATAATTCTGACGATGCTATAGATACACATAGAAGTGTTCATCATTTTCCAACATTTTTTTTAAATTTTATAACCTTTTTTCGAACTTTGTACATTTATTTAAAAACTAGATTAGGTTAGAGTTGGAAAAACAATAGGTTCACCAGAAATAAACTGAACCAGCAACTTTGATAAAGTAAATTTTTTTTACAAAATGTCTGTGTCTTTTATCACAGAGAGTCGTGAGAAATAATCGATGAATTGGAAACTTTTCCCATTTCATAACCCATTAAACTAACTGTGAAAATATCAGGCCTAAGAAGAAGAAGTAGAAGAGGTACTGCACATTTATGTTATCTTATGCTGCAGGTATGACTAGGAAGGTTATTTCCCTGGAGTCTTGAGGTGTAATTATGCTAGTTGTTTTCAATTGCATATAAATTATCAAACCCATTATTAGAATTGGTGTGGCCTTGTGGTGATTGTACCTAACTCTCAGGCATTTTGTTCAGGGGTTATATCATATCATACACCCTCTTCTCCGATTATCTTAAGATGGCCCTATGGAGTTCTATGATTGGCTCCTCGAGTTTACCCAAGATAACCAATTGTTGGGATGCAACTGTACTCATAATAGTTAGCCAAAGCCTTATGACAACTTGAGAATAAAACAAGATGCTTTCCATGCAGTAACATCTCCACTGTGTGAAACAGTTCCTTATAGTCGTCTACAGAATAGATGACTAGTGAGCTATAAATGAACCATATTCATAAAAATTATATTCAGCTTAAGGCTAAATTAACATTGTTTCAGATAACTGTACAGAAAAAGTGCACTTGAAGCTTGCAACAAGCAAACGACAATAACTAAGATAATATTTGTTTAAAAATAGCCAAAATGCACAAATAATTTCATTGACGTGATGCACCAATGAGGCCATCAGTAGAAGCTACGAGGAGGATTCGAACCTGCACACTGGGTACTCCCAAGCACATGTCTTAGGCCATTTAACAACGACATGCTCAAAAGCAATAACACCTGGGATTGAAATCACGAATCACATTAATGTGATATCTTTTTGTATCGGAAGAGAAGTGTGGGAGGTAAAACTCCTATACCACAGCCAGAGTGCATATGGGTAATGAGGAAAACCCCTATTTGTCTTCAGTGGAAGCCTCAGAACACCTAGATTCAGATGAGTACCAGGTTTCTTTGATTTAGAGAATATCGTTATTAAGTGGATTTAGGTGTGAGCATGGGAGTGCCCAGTGTGCAGGTTCGAATCCTCCTCATGGCAACAATCATAATAATAAATGATGTGAATAATAACTAGACATACGATGAATCACAATAACGTAATTGAAGATATGATGACCACACTACACATCAGAAAATGAAGACTTGACGTTTCAGTCCGTCCTGAACCATTATCCAGTCGTGTGATAGAAGAGACGAAGGGACAAACAAATACATAGAGTAAGAGAGTGAATGAAAAGTGAGGAACATGTATGAGAAAATGGTAAGAGAAGAAGGCAAGAATAAGAAGAAATGTATAAATAGGATGAGAAGAAAAGGAAGGTAAGAATAAGATGAAGGTAAGAATAAGAAAAAGGTAAGAATACGATGAATGTAAGAATAAGATGACAGTAAGAATAATAAGAAGGTGAGAATAAGATGAAGGAAAGAATAAGATGATGGTAAGAATAATAAGATGAGAATAAGATGATGGTAAGAATAATAAGATGAGAATAAGATGATGGTAAGAATAATAAGATGAGAATAAGATGATGGTAAGAATAATAAGATGAGAATAAGATGATGGTAAGAATAATAAGGTGAGAATAAGATGATGGTAAGAATAATAAGATGAGAATAAGATGAAGGAAAGAGAAAAAGGTAGGAATAGATGAGGGTAAGATAAAAAGGTAGGAGTAAGAATAAAGGTAAGAATAGGATGAGAATAAAAGAAAGGTAAGTATAGGAAAACGGGGTAAGGATAAGAGAAAGGGGCAAAGCTTAAGTCAAGTCACGTTTGTTAAGAAGGTTGGAATATTTAAGTATGTATTGTGACAGGGAAGAGTCAACAGCAACACGCTAGGATTAAGGGTCATGTTGGGTGTGTTGTGTATCAAAGCCAAGTCAACAAGATGGCGTTTGATAGAGTAGAGGCAGGAAAGATTATTTTTGAAGACCCATCAGTTGGATGATTAGAGTCCCTAACATTGTAAAAGAGGGCAGCGTTTGTGTCTACAGTGCTTTTGTGTGCCTTAAATCGGTCATTAAGTGAACGCCCAATATCACCAAAATATTGGAGAGGACACGACGAGCAGGAAATAGAGTAGACACCAGCAGCATTAGAAGCAGGTGGAGCAGTGTGAACCAGATTACTTGTGTTTTTAGTTTGTCGAAGAGGTGAGTTTAAATCAAGAAGACGGAAGGTATTAGTGATATTTTATAGTTCAGATATGACGTTAAGGTTGAGCAGTGTTACTAGTGTTGGAAGCAAGTTTGGGATGAAAATATTTAGTTTAGCTTGAGAATAACCTCAGTTGATAAAATGTAAGGTATCCAAGGCGAGAGATACATGTAAATAAAGTAAATTTCATAATAAAGAAACTGCGGGTTACTGATGCTAGGACCTGGAAGAGATAAACGAGATTCCTTTTCTCAATAGAAGCGAGGAATAGTAAGAAAAGAAGTGAAAGTACATATCACTGTGCACAGGCTTGCGTTAAACAGAAAAAGATAACCTACTCCCAGATCTGTGAACATGAACATCTAGAAAAGGAATGAGAGAATTTGATTCCCAATCAGCTATGCTAATAATAGAAGGAGCCAGATTGTCAAGAGAGAAGATAAAAAAAAGGTTGGAAATGACAAGGGCCATAAGGTCCTAGAGCAAAAACATAACGTAACGAAGCCAGAGAGAAGAACGAGTATTAATAGTGGGAAGAACAGCTTCGAGATGCTCCATATAGTGACTGGCAAGGAGAGGGGAGAGAGGAACCCATAGCAACGACCAAAGTTTGAAAGTAGTATTTTCCATTGAAAGGAAAGAGTCAACACAGCGACGTCGTCGTCTCTTTATTTTCTGATGTGTGGTTTGGTCATCAATAATATGTAGCGTGTGGAATTTTCAAAGAAGAGACCACGAAAGAGAGAATGCTAGTGAAGAGAACTAGGATAACAGGTAAATAGAGACTACTAACCTGAAGAGTGCAGGAATCACAGGTGAAATCGGCAGGTATGATGAGAGGTATATTGTACTCTCCTCCCTGGGTATTCTTGTCCATCTTATACTGACGGCCTTCCACCCCGGATATCTCCATGGGCCACCTGCGCGTCATGTCATAAGGTCAAGTTAGGTCATGTCTCAGAAACGTACATAAAATGAGGTTTTTGAGAAATATCCGTTGCATAAAATATTTCAACTCACACACAAACACATGTTCATAAAGCAATAAGCAAACTCAGTTTAAACTTGTTTATCGTGATTAAATTTTATTCAAGAGTTAGAAACTAAATGAATTTGGCTTTTCTGTAATGAAAGTTATGAAAATTTACCAAATATATTAAAGATATTTTGTAAGAAAATAGATACATTATAATTATTCATGATATAAATTCCAATTTGTATCTAATACTGCTTGACTGTAATGACATTTGCCTTTCTATCAAACTGTATGTGAATAATCTAACTGTGGGGGACTATGCCTAGAAAGGCTTGATGTATCACCTCATGAGGCAGTCTTCATCCCCGGGGCCTGTCTTAGGGCAGAGGTAGAACTCGAAGACCCCTTTCTCCACATGCGGCACCTGGGCCTTCACCAGCATCTCCTGTAATCCACCGACGAAAAAAGATGAGTGTCAGAAGGATCAGTTCACATGGCATCTGTACCTTCACAGCAAATATAGACTGTGCTGGAGGGAGGTGGGGGGACGGGGTTAAATGCTATTTGATGTTTATACTATTTTTGCAAAAAATTTCCAAAACGACTAGTTTGTTCCACAACAACTCTCACTACCATAACGACTAACATACACCACAATCACCACAACTATCACAATGACTAAAACATGCCACTACCACTATAATTCCACTTTTCTAGAGCAGGCTGAAGAGATTTATAATAATTTACAGTCGGAAACATATTACGGGCAGTGGTTCTCCATTGAAATAACACCACATGAGACAGGGAGGCATGACATGCGTACAAAATAGCCCTGTTGAAAAGATGAAATATGTAAGCTGAGCGGTAGGAAGGGAACTATCAGGGAAAAGCGCCAAGCAATTACGACTATATAGCACTTGGATGGGATTGGGACGGGGGAAAGGAGGGAGAGAATTCTCTCATTTTCAAGAGCTCTAGACTTTTCAGTTTTCCCTCTTATCATAATGGGCATAACTAGATGAACTATTAGTATTCAAAATAAAACTTGGTAAACTCCTCAAATTAAAACCTGAAAAATCAGGCTGTGATTCATACGTCAGACTGTGAGTAGCTGCGTCTAACAACCTTGTTATCCAGACCACCAACTAGGAGGCCTCGTGAGAGATCGGGCCGCAGGAACGTTGCTCCTTGGAACGAACGCAAGGTAACCTCAAGGTAAGGTATACCATGAATCACTTTTCTGTGACGTCTGGCGATTCAAATTCCGTGAAGGAAGTCTCCTCTTATTCTATGCATGAAAAACATAAGTTTACTTGAAATTGCTTTCCCGCGTTTAAGCTTTAAAATGTAGATTATAACACAATCAGGGACCAAACTACATATTTCTGATCATAAATATAAATAGCTTAGCACAACAATTTGCAATTTGTCAGGACTAAACTATAATTTTTAGCCATTAAAGATGCACCAAACGTTGCCTTGACATATGTGTTAATTATTTATAGTCATTCATCACTCCACAGAAATAAGAAATCTATAAATATAAAATAAATTGATTCTAAGAGATCCCCTCTCAGTGTATCACTGACGCCCGATGAAGGATCAGAATCCTTTTCTTGTCTCTCTATTGAAAACTTACAGTTTTTATATGCATTCTCTGATCACGTGATCAGTGCTCTCCATTAATGGAGCAAATTACAAAGATTGTGTTGAGAAAAGTATTATTTTTTATATTGCAAGTTCGAAGCAGAAACTGCTGAACGGAAAGTACCAAAAAAAATATATTAATGATAGTAGCGTGGAAGTGTTACTCACCTCGCCAGCAACATACTCAGGAAGTTGCTTCACAGACTGGGAACTCTCGTCTGTCGCTTCCTGCAACACAAAAGGAGTGCTAAACATAAGATGACGCTTCTTATATATAAGATATATTCTAAACACACAAAATGAAACAGACACACACACACACACACACACTCTCTGTTTTGTTCGGAATCTTTCAGAACATTAAATACCACATATGTCAGACCAATCCTGGAGTATGCGGTGCCAGCATGGAGTCCATATCTAGTTAAGCATAAGACAAAACTGAAAAAGGTTAAAAGGTTTCCCCCAGACTAGTACCCGAACTGAGGGGTATAAGCTACGAGGAAAGACTACGGGAATTAAACCTCACGTCTCTGGGAGACTGAAGAGTTAGCGGGGACATGATCATCACATACAAGATTCTCAGAGGAATTGATATGGTAGATAAGGACAGACTATTTAACACAAAGAGCACACGCGCCAGGAGACACAGGTGGATATTGAGTGCCCAAATGAGCCATAGAGATGTTAGAAAGAAATTTTTCAGTGTCAGAGTAGTAGACAAATGGAATGCAATAGGAAGTGATGTGGTGGAGGCTGACTCCATACACAGCTTTAAGTGTAGATATGATTGAGCCCAGCAAGCTCCGGAATTTGTACACCAGTTGATTGTCAGTTGAGAGGCGGGACCAAAGAGCCAGAGCTCAACCCCCGCAAGCACAATTAGGTGAGTAAAATTAGGTGAGTACACTCACAAAGGAGAGGATGATCCAGCTAGACTCGATCTGATATTCACCCTGAATGAGTCGGAAATAAGGGAAGTTAATTTTGATGCTCCATGGGATTCCAGTGTTGGAAGTGTTCACACTGTACTATCATCTGAGAATTTGATGGAGTTACGTGTAATCTTCCCCCCCAAAAATGACCAGAAACACTAGGGCTAACATACCGAAACGGAAGTTATGGGGAGATGAGAAAGTTCCTAACATAAATATCATGAGAAACAAAACTCAGAGAAAAGTCTGTACAAGACATGATGAATTACGTCACACAAAAATGTCAAGAGGGAGTAAATATGTTTCTGCCGTTCAAAAAGTAAAGACTAATAAGCAACAAGGAATCCTATATTTAATCAGGCATGTGAGGAAGCAAGGTACTCAAATACAACAGCGTGGGCAACTACAGAAATAACAAAACAACAGAGAGCAAGGGAAGATACCAGAGGGCCAAGAATGAATACCTCAGTGTGCGAAGAGAAGCACAGAGATAGTATAAAGATGACATTGCAAATAAAGCCAAGACCGATCCAAAACTGCTCCACAGTCACATCAGGAGGAAATCAATAGTGAAAGAACAAATGATGAAAATGAAAGCGGTCATTCAGAGAACAATAGAGGTGTGTGAAGAAATCAACAAGAGATTTCAGGAAGTTTTAACAATAGAACGAGGTGAGGTCCCTGAACTAAGAGATGCGGTAACAAACCAGGCAGCTTTGGAAGGGTTCGAAATTGCCAGAGATGAAGTTAGGAGGTAGCTGTTGGATCTGGACATGAGAAAGGATGTTGGACTTGACAGAATCTCTCCTTGTATTCAAAAGAGTTTGCAGAAGCACTCTGTTTTTCTTTGTCCACAGTGTATAATAAGTCACTGGAAGCTGGAGACCTACCAGACATATGGAAGACTGCTAATGTAGTCCCAATATAAGAAAAGAGTGACAGATAAGAGGCACTGAACTACAGGCCAGTGTCCCTAACTTGTATATCATGCAAAGCAATGGAGAAGATCGTGACGAAAAGAAAGTATATCTGTAGAAAAGGGACTTCGTGACTACCCACCAACATGGGTTCAGAATGACAGATCTTGTCTCACAGGCCTAAAAAAAATTTACGATCAGGTGACAACGATTAATCAAGAAATAGAAAGGTGGGAAGATTGTGCTTTCTTGAACTATGAGAATGCCTTTGACATAGTGCCCCATTAGATGCTGGTGCATAAGTTGGAGAAACAGGCAGGAGTAACTGGTAGGGTGCTCCAGGGAATAAGGAAGTATCTTATCAAGAGGAAACAAAGTTACTATGATGGGTGAGGTCTCAGGATAGCATGTTGTTACTAGCAAAGTACCACAGGGTTCTGTACTCGGACCTGTTCTGCTTTTGATATACCTAAATGATCTTCCAGAAGTTATAGAATCATTACTGTCATTGTTTGCTGATGATGCTAAAATTATGAAAAGTAGGAAGGAAGATAGTAGACAGGAAGACAGAATGATGCTTCAAAATAACCTGGACAAACTGAAGCAATGATCCGTCAAATGGCTATTAGAGTTTAACTCGAGAAAATACAAAGTAATGAAGATAGGTGTAGATAGCAAGAGACCGGAAAAAAGATTCCATTTGGGAGATGAAATTATTCAAGAATCTGAAGAGAGAAACGCGTGAGAGATGACATCATGCCACACATGTCCCCTGGAGCCTATCAAGAGGATATCATCAGCGGCATATGCCAGGTTGGCCTACATATGAACGGCTTTTTGAAAATTGTAAAAGGGATATTTCAGAACCTTGTATGCCACATATGTCAGACCAATCCTGGAGTATGCAGCTCCAGCATGGAAGTTGTATCTTGTCAAACGCAAGATTAAATTGGAGAAGGTTCAGAGGTATGCCACCAGACAAGTACCCAAGCTGAAGGGTTTAGGCTTCGAGTTGAGACTACAGGAACTAAACCTCACGACGCTGGAAGACAGAAGAGCTAATGGAGGCTTAATCACCACATACAAGATCCTCAGAGAAATTGATAGGGTTGATAAAGACAGCTTATTTAACACAGGGGACACATGCACTAGAGAGGTACGGAAAACAATAGGCTGGCATTCGGAAAGGGTAACTATGAGGAGATAAAAATATTCCTAACAGATATAACATGGGAAACAGAGCTCAAGGGAAAAACGGCCCAAGACATGATGGACTACGTCACGCAGAAATGCAAAGAGGCAGCAAACAAGTATGGGACACTTGAGAGCAGAGAAAGTCACCAGAGTGCCAGGAATGAATATGTCAGGATGAGAAGAGAAACAGAAAGACAATACGAAAATGACATCGCGAGCAAGGCAAAGACTCAATCTAAATTGCTGCACAGCCACATCAGGAGAAAAACAACAATTAAGGAACAGGTAATGAAATTAAGGATAGGGGCAGAAGGATTTACTACAAACGACAAGGAAGTGTGTGAGGAACTGAATAAGAAATTCAAGGAGGTCTTCACCTTAGAGCAAGGAGAAATTACAGAGATAAGAGAGGGAATAGTTAACCAGGAACCACTGGGAGAGTTTGAGATTACCAGTGAGGAAGTAAGGAAGTTGTTACAACAGTTGGATGTGACAAAGGCTATAGGTCCAGATGGAATCTCCTCTTGGATACTAAAGGAAGGAGCAGACGCACTGTGCTTACCACTCTCCATAGTGTATAAAAAATCACTGACAACAGGGGAATTGCCAGAAATTTGGAAAGCAGCTAACGTAGTCCCGATATATAAGAAAGGGGATAGACAGGAGGCACTGAACTACAGGCCAGTGTCCCTAACCTGCATACCATGCAAGCTAATGGAGAAGATTGTGCGAAGAAAGCTAGTGGAACATCTGGAGCGAAGGAACTCTATAACACAGCATCAACATGGGGTTAGGGATGGCAAGTCCTGCCTCACAGGGTTAATTGAACTCTACGACCTGGCAACAAAAATGAGGCAAGAAAGAGAGGGATCGGCAGACTGCATATTTTTGGATTGCCAGAAAGCCTTTGATATACTACCACACAAGAGGCTAGTGAAAAAGCTGGAGATGCAGGCTGGAGGGAAAGGGAAGGTACTCCATTGGATAAGAGAGTACCTAAGCAACAGAAGACGACGTGTCACTATGAGGGGTGAGGTCTCAGATTGGCGAGACGTCACAAGTGGAGTTCTGCAGGGGTCAGTCCTTGGACCTATGCTGTTTCTAATATATGTAAATGATCTCCCGGAGGGTATAAACTCGTTTCTCTCAATGTTTGCTGATGACTCAAAAATTATGAGGAGGATTGAAACAGAGGAGGATAGTAGGAGGCTACAAGATGACCTGGACAGATTAAATGAATGGTCCAACAAATGGCTGCTAGAGTTCAACACAAGTAAATGCAAAGTAATGAAACTAGGCGGCGGAAACAGAAGGCCAGACACAGGATACAGATTGGGAGATGAAGTACTTCATGAAAAAGACAGAGAGAAAGATCTAGGGATTGATATCACACAAAACCTGTCTCCTGAAACCCACATAAAAAGAATTACGTCTGCGGCATATGCGAGACTGGTTTACATCAGAACAGCATTCAGGAACCTGAGTCAGAAATCATTCAGAATCTTGTATACCACATATGTAAGACCAATCCTGGATTATGCGACTTCAGCATGGAGCCTGTACCATGTCAAGCACAAGACGAAGCTGGAAAAAGTTCAAAGGTATGCGATTAGACTAGTCCCGGAGCTAAGAGGCATAAGTTACGAGGAAAGGCTGCGAGAGATGCACCTTACGACACTGGAAGACAGAAGAGTAAGGGGAGACATGATCACCACCTACAAAATCCTCAGGGGTATTGACAGGGTAGACAAGGATAAACTATTCAACACTGGTGGTATGCGAACAAGGGGACACAGGTGGAAACTGAGTACCCAAATGAGCCACAGAGACATTAGAAAGAATTTTTCAGTGTCAGAGTAGTTAACAGATGGAATGCATTACGCAGTGATTATGGTGGAGGTTGACTCCATACACAGTTTTAAATGTAGATATGATTGAGCCCAGTAAGCTCAGGAATCTGTACACCAGTTGATTGACGGTTGAGACGTGAGACCAAAGAGCCAAAGCTCAACCCCCTCAAGCACAATAAGGTGAGTACAATTAGGTGAGTACACACACACACACACACACACAAGACTCGGTTCAGCCTTGATAGCGAGCATACATATATGGGCGACGGTCTGCATATACCGAGGGAAAAATAGAGTCAAGGGAGCGGGTGTACTGTGCGATGGGAATCGGG